TTACCCCCCACCCCCCAGCCAACACATAACAAAAAAAAAATGTACTCCTAGTTTACCTAACCTGGATAGTAGATACACACCCACCCATTTTCGAGTCAGGAGCAGTCGCTCCTGGTATTCTTATAACACGCCACCTCTGACCATATACATAATCATTTGTTGTCTCCTTCTTACAACTGCGTAACATACCAAATTTGCACTCAACAGATCACGTTTAGYTCTGTTAATTTAAAAATTAGTGGAATCGACCTATTATGAAATTTGATGATGTTAAGGAAATAAGAACATTATCTGTGTTTGTAAGTGCGGGTTTTTTACGATAATTCAATTGTGTAGCATGTTAGGCGTATATAAAATAGCGTAAATTACAAATTCTTAAAACTCATTTAAAAAATAAGTTATCGTTAAAACCCCCACATCAAGTTTCATAATAGGTCGATTCACTCTAATTTTTAAACTAACAGAATTAAATTTGATCTGTTAAGTGTAAATTTGCTATATTACGCACTTGTAAGGTGGAGATAAAAAATATGTCTGTATAGCGTCCTCTGAATGACAAATCTTTACCACACTTGACTATATGCACGTGTTCCTAGCCAACCCTATTATAATACCAAATACCGGTTAATAACCATGCATTTGATGAAAACTAGATCACAAAATCACATAGAATTTAAACTAATGAAAAAATAAATATTTATTTTTACGACGACGTAGAGTGGACAATAATTGTATGCACTTTTTACTCTAATATAGAATATATAGCATTATAATATTTTAATCATTTTTAATTTTGTGCTCATCACGCGAATTTTTTTATTTTTTTGGAAGCCTATAACATATTAACATGTAATTCAATAAGTTAAGAATTATGGTACAAAAATAAATGTATAAAAATATATAATTTATAACTTAACAAAGTTCACGATTTTTGGTGTTTTACACATGTGCACACAACSCTCTATTTTACATTTTTAATAGTCTTAATGCTAACACAATACACTATACTGTAAATTATAATAACTATAGTTTTGCATTATTTATTGAATAGACAACAGATATTATTAACTGACAAAAGGTCTAGTAAAAAAACTGAGCTCTGCAGACAATGCAGACCTCTCATAACCTTGTCAGTTAAAATGTGAAAGTAAGTAGATTGTTAAGATTTTTGGCTGAACTAAATTTTTTTTCTTATTTTATAGAAACAAAACAATTGTAATAGTTTATAAATAGCAATGAAAGAATCAATAAGATATTTTTGAAAATTTTACTATGGTATAGAAAATGCTAGAATAAGCATTTGGTGAAAAATGTATATACCTATATCTATAATATGTTATGGTTATTCGTATTTAAATTACAGTAAAATAATAAAAATGATTTTTGCACAAAAATTCATGATTTTTCTTCATTATTGTTGTTTTAGTTCTACTATACCATTTTGATAACTATGGGGAATTAATTTTTATTTGTACCCTGTAAAATATCAACTACAACCATTTTTTTTTTTCAAAAACCATTCTCAATGTTGAAAACGTTTATTTTATTTTTTCCTTTATTTTAAAAATAACCTGTACAAACAAGCACTGAAGCACATTCAGTAATTAAGAAATAATAAAAAAAACATAACATATAATTTGAAAAATAAACAGCTTTTAAGGAAGTCACCCATTGGTGACACCAACTAACTTTTAGTTGGATTTACGATTACTAAAGTAGATTGCGATTCCAATTACGTTTAAGCCTGCGTGGGGGGTTGCCTGGGATATACAGTGAAGCCATGTCTTTGATGAGAGGATTAGTACTGGAGTTGAGTTTGAAGTGGAAACGGTGATATTGAATTTTGGCGTAGTCAGTGACATTTATTACTTTGAGGTGGTTGTGAAGTGAAAGGTTTGTCATGTACCATGGAGCACCAGTTATAAGTACGTAGGACAATATTTTGGAAAGATTGGATGGGGCGAATGTTTGAGGGTTTGGCCATCCCCCATATTTGAATACCATATGACCACTGACCAGACAGGTCTGATCATTGTATTATACAATAACATTTTGGTTTTTAGATTAAGTTTAGATTTAAGAAGAGGTCGGAAGAGATGGAGTCTACTGTTGGCAAGTTTCCTTTTGTTTTGGAGATGGGGTTTTCAAGTTAAGCGTTTGTCTAAAATTATTCCTAGATATTTTATCTCGTTTGAGATAGGTATTTTTAGTTTGATGGTTGGGTAGACGCCAGGGCGTAGAGCGAAAGTGACTTGGGAAGATTTGCTTTCGTTAATACTAATCATCCAGTTATTGGCCCAGTTATCTATAAGATTTAAATGTTCTTGAAGGTATTGTGCCGCTATAGTTATGTCAGTATTACTTGATAGGATGGCAGGATCGTCGGTAAATGTATGCAGTATGCAGCAAGTAGAGTGTTGTCGGTTTTAGGGATGTCCATGGTAAAGATGTTGAATAAGTCAGGTCGCTACCTTGAGGGACACCTGCTTCGATGCCAAACACTGAAGAGAAAGCATTGCCATGTCTAACCTTGAACTTTCTGTGTTCTAAATAAGATTTTAGAATAAGGTATAGTGGAGTTGGCATGAATTGTTTTAGTTTGAACTGAAGTCCATTATGCTATAGGTACTTTATCAAACGCCTGTGCGACGTCGAGGAAAATATCTGTAAAGTATTTTTTATATTCGAGCGCAGAGGCTATTGTGTCAGTTAGACGGTGAACTTGATGTAAAGTCGAATGTTTAGATCGAAAACCAAATTGAGTATTACTAGTATTAGGTATAATACTATACTAGTGCCACTCTAAGAACGCTACTCGTTCGCGCATCCAAATGACCGAGCTCCGCAGTTGCGTACCCATATTTCTCCCATTTTACCATTTAGTCGCCGCCGTAAATTCCCGCACTGACTAGTAGTGGCTACGACGCGCCGTCGGTGGTAGTGGAAGCGACGGAAGTGCGAAGTGGGAATGCGCGAGATCGGACGAATTTTGKTCGCCACCAACAGTAGCGTTCCTACGATGGCCATAGTATATACTCAGATAAGATAGGTCTTATTTTCTTGAGGAAGCATTTTTCAAATAGTTTGCCTAAGATGGGCAGTAAGCTAATGGGTCTATATGAGGTAG